TCATTAGACGAAATACAATAATATAAATACAGTAGATAGTATAATACAATAATTTCATCTTATGCCGATCATCTGTGAGGAGCGTGAAACTTTCCTGGACTAGCTGGAACATTTTATTCATCGGCTGAATTTTATTCACGGCTATAAAAATAAATGTTTAAAGCAAACAAAAAAAATTTCGACTTCTAGATATCCAGAATTTTAATGAGAAAGGTTAGTTAGGAGAAGTGACCAGGTTTCAAAGCTCGTTTCGAATCTCTTAATATTATTATTTTTATAAATAATTGATCCCCAACAGACATTTCATCACTAGAGGAGACATAAAAGTGTTTCCAAATATGTGTTCCTGCCTTTAAGGAAGGTTCTCTTTTTGAAGACCCCTTAGGTGTATCTGTCCATAAATAATCCTGGCAATAGTTGATTCTACTTGAACTTGTGATATATTCCGAGTCCTGCTTTCTCCTTCCTTTCTTTTATCGTGTGTGACATATGAGAAACAGTTCCCGTATTAATAATAATACGCAATTATTCAGGTGAGAGGTATTACTTAGAGGGGGCCAAGTGTGCGGAAAGTGTCAAGCAGGCTATAGGTGAGGCCGATTTTCAGCAGTGGTTAAGAACAGACTAAAATGATAAAGAAGATGATGACGACAGTATTGACACATGAATGCCTAAAACCCATATTATTAGAAAATGCATCTATAATTTATAAATGATATCCGATATTTCATATCTTATAACTTGGACCGAGAACATTTACAGCCAGTTACACACAGTTTATTCACAACTTCGTACATTCTCGCAATATGTCGCCGCGCGCGAGGATACCAGCCGATTTTATTGCAAGACTTTTCAATAATTTATATCATAACACATGGCGTTGTTTCGGCTCCCTACGGCCCGTTTTGACACAGCAATATACTCGAACCCATAGGAGCAAAGGCTCTATGAAGTGCTATGTGGAATTTTCTTTTTTATTAGTTTACAAAGCATTTCATATCGACGACCAATTGGTGTAATTGATTATGGATCTGTCTCTTGCGTCTCAGGTTGTGGGTTCGATCCCCACTATTGGAAATATATTAAGTGATGAACCTAGTATTCTTCTAGTGGTTTGGTGTTTATTCATCCATAATATGTATTATTTAGTAAAAAAAAAAGCATGTTTAAGTATATCTATCAGTTACCTATCAGATATCCATCGTTCAAGTTTTGTTAGCGACTAGATTACATTGTGTAAATATTTCCTGAAATATTTAATTATTATTACTTGTCTATATATATATTTCATTAGTTTATTATTGATGTTGATGATGATGGTGATGATGACGACTTCGTAACGTCCCAAGAGCTAACTTGCATGAAGTCCCTCATTAGACAAAGCGAAAGAGATCTTCTAATTTAGCTGGTCTTTTCCGATGCCGTCGTACTATTTTCCATAGTTTCGACTCACTTTTCATCGGCATCCGGGACTTTAATTTTTAACCGACTTCAAAAAAGGAGGCGGTTCTCAATTCGACTTTATTTTTTTTTTATGTATGTTACCTCAGAACTTTCGACTGAATGAAGCGATTTTGATGATTTTTTTTTTATGTGAAAAGTTGCCAACGAGCAGACGGTTCACCTGATGTTAAGTGAATACCGCCGCCCATGGACATCTGCTACACTTGATGCGTTGACAACCTTTTGAAAATTCGGCTCCGGCCCCCTCACTCGCCAGTCGAAACGCGAAAGTATTATACTTCCACTTTACGCCGGTCTTCTGTGAGGTCGTGGTACTTACCCGGACGAGCCTGCCCACTCTTGCAACAGCCGAGACTGCTACGTGGCCCTACCACCCTAACTATTTGAAAGCTGGTGCTTCCCATGTGATCCCATATTAATTTCATCGCTATTCGAATTTTCCCAAAAATTCCCTACGTATCTCCAGAGGCTACGTATCCCAAGAGGGCTCTGGAGATACGAACTCCTGAAAACCAATTATAAAATGAATACAGAGCGAGATATTTGGAGTCAGTTTTGTTTTTCGTTAGTAAAAAAATGTTCATTAGAAATAACAAATGGATTATAACATGTTATATTCTGCGGTAATTATAATTTGTAAATTATTATTTTAAAACATAGAAACAACAGTAGATATACACCTGGGCAACGCCGGTACAACGACATATTAATTAAGTGATATCAATTCAAGGAACACTAAATTGAATGTCGAAATGATAAAAATGTACACAATTCGACTACTTATGTAATTTTATATCTGTTTAAGTCCTTTTGTAGGTAGTCACCGTTAAAAGTATTGTTTCATTATTATTTTGTCCTTTATAAGTCCTATGTAAAATAAGAAATTGCATCATTTTTAATTTCAGTTTACACAAAACATTGTGTTAAACTTTTGATTTCTATTATTTGTGGTACCTACGTACATTAGAACTTCAGTTATCATCAATCGGTTCATTAGCCTTTGAGTGTTGCGTGCACAACGGAAAATGATTGCTGATAATAGAATTTTCATGTCTGATAGGTAAGTGATATTACAAACATCTAAAATATAGCTTTTCACTATTATTTCATTTATATCATTTACCCTTTTTACTTAAATTAGTTTACTAAGTACCTACAATTATGTACTACTGCTGACCTTGAGTCCTCATGAAGCCTCTGAGGCCTCATGAAGCCTCATAGTCCGCGACCTGATTACGGATTGGCAGTTCTCCCATATCTTCAAAATGTTTTTTAAATTATTTCAAAGACATGTAATATCATCAGCTGATGATATTACATGTCTTTGTAATATCATCAGTTGGCATCCTTACCAACCCGCAAGTCAACCTTCATAGAACTAAATAGCGAGCACGTCATAAGAATGTAGGATTTAAAAGCTTCTAGCACAGTTATAAGATGAAATGAAACACGTGAAAATCTCACCGCATTATCAGTGAATGAGTTCGGTGGCAACGAGATACAATAAAATGTATTTGCTCCGACCACAGGGCCATCTCCAGGCGATTCACACTTTCCACGATGCAATTTTCCAAGTCGCCTACTCAACCGACTTCATCTTCTCGCCTTTGTACTTCTATCTCACTTTATCGAGATATATCTTTATCTTCAAAGGTCTTTAGTTGTATAGCAACAGTTCATACACATCTTTTTGCAAACGTCATGAATGAATGAATCTCTTCATTGCCAGAACGATCTTTATTATCATAATTTGGTGCAACATATTCAGCTGACTTATTTTACATATTTTCCATTAAAACATTAAAATCATTATTCGGATATTATGTAAAATGTAAACGGTTTTTTTTTTTAAATTTTGAAGTATTGATTTGAATTATGAAGACGAGAGGTGAGGTGAAATGATTTTATAGAAATTTATGTTGATGATTGAATTATGGTTAAACTTGTTGAAATACAAGGAATAGTTCAATCTGTGCTTGGGTATTTTAATTGGGATGTAACTTTTCTGTGTACGCATATATTTCTAAGAACTTTTAATGATAATCTTTTCATTTTCTTTTGTGGTAAAATCATGGATAGGTTCGCTCGTCTTTTGTGAAGAGTTTTAGTTAATTTATAACCCGATTGAAACACGAATAGTCATCTCTATCTACTTCGCCCTGATAGGAATGACCTAATGTTCTATCTATTTACGTATTTGTGAGATCGCCAGCTCAAATCCCAACTTCGGACGCTAGAGTAGCGTTTTCTTTTGTGGTGAAATCATGGTCTCACACGTGACAAACACGTTAGTTCATTTATAAACCGAATGAAACGCAGAAAGTCATCTCAATTTCCTTCGTCCTGGTTAGAATAACCTAGTGTTTGTTATACTTACTTGTTTGTAAGTCCATACGAATTAATTTAAGAGCAACTTTAATTTAACACAACGCAAAACACTTTTGTTTCGGCGTAACTAGAAAAATCGGACGGCGTAAGGAAGAAAAACGGGGGTGGTTCTCGGCCCAACTGAATAATATACGACCCAAGAATAACTAAGTTCGTATAGCTAACATAGTAATGGAACGGAAGCGGGTGTGACGTTAATAAAGTTTGGTATACTGAAAATGAGTCTTTGTATCGTTAAGCCGTATTACATTCAAAAGACACGCTAACATGTAGGGGTTAGATACCCGTATAATAATAGTTAAATTCAACATTAAATAATAATTACGAGTAGAGTTATCTAGTAACTAACCTTAAGATTTTAATAAATGATCTTAAATATCGATGGTTCAAATTACTGCATGCAACACTGTTATACCTTTTTCATATGAAAACTATTGATCTCTTTCATTTCTTCCAGGTATCCTGACGCCATGAAGAAGCAAATAATATAAGTATAATGCCGGCATAGCCGGCGTAGAACGATGACCCATTACATAGAACGGCGCTCTACGCCCGACTAATTAGATGATGCAAAACTATAAAGTGATATTCACAGTAACGACAGTTCACAGTTCAAAGGTGCCGAATTCGCTCCACACAATAATAATTATTTAGTCGAGCAAACAGCTAAAAGCAATGGAATTGATAATTTCGCGACTGCCTCCGTATCAGTGCAAACTCAATCCTACTGAGTCCTAATCCTAAACCCAAATAAAAAAATATGTTCCTACTAACGACGTCCAACATGAGTAATGTAAAAATTATAATCACGCTAATCGTTGAAAGAAACGCCGAGAACACACATAATACGAGAAGGAAATGCAATATGGAATTTGGATAACGTCATGGAGCTCAAATACCAATATTCTTTCATATTAATTACGAAAGATGAATCTAGTGATACTGATTGACATTATTTTAATTCAAAATAATTTTGTATACATTAATATTAATCTTTTGAATTATAAATTATTTGATTTTGACTCAATATTAAAAGAGTTACTTTTGTCAATCCAATGTATAAGGGATATTCATTGAAAATTCTTTTTGATACTACTAAGTACTCCGACACTAAATTTGAGATGTTAATACTGTCAAATAATGTGTATATGAACTATTCCGCTCCGCTCGTCACGCGGTCGCGGCCGGCGAATTCAATCAGTTGCCGGCGCGCGGTGATCTCGGCCGCTAAAGGCGTGTGCATAAATAACGCGTCGCCGTACCGCGTCCGCCCCCGTTACCGGCTATGGATACTTCAGGAGTTATTGCCCCCGACTGGGATGGATGGCCGGCCGCCTCTGGATTATGGCGTTACCGCCGCGGTCCCTCGCAGACGCCGCTCTACGATTTATAAGTCGCATCTTTTATAACTCTCGGAGTTTTCTTGTGATGTAACGACCGTGAATGCTGTCGGGCCTAGGACGCCGCAGTCTTGTAGCTTTGTTCGCAATACGTGTCTTTTTATTGCTTTCGCTAAATCTACATGTTCTTCGCTGCTCCGAATTTATTGTGAAAATTGCACGAATTACTTCGAATGATTACTGCCTCATTGGGCCCCTTGAACTACGACGTTCTTAGCACTCATTTGGACTAAAATAAGATTATTGAAATTGGAAAGGCATACTATGACAATAGATTGAATTTTCCATTATTCGCATAAATGCAAAAATTCATCGAAGATTAATGCAATAACTGTTATTGTCAAATATGCAGAATTATCGCATTTATATTTGATGACTTTTTTGCTCACAGTGGTCCTACGGATGGCCTAGCTATGAACTTATTCAATACCCATTTGACAAGACTTTTTGATCTACATAATTGATTTCTACAAGTGATTTTCGAAGTGCATTAATTGTCTGTTTATTACTTACACTATAAATAACTTAGTTGTTATAAATAAATTAATTTAGTTGAAAAGATTATGCGAATTGTGGAAATAAGTAATCGAAAAACCAGCAACTAGATAAATAGATAGGTTGTAGGAAAAATACCCACCTATTTACGCATTTCACACAGCAATCCCGGTACACGAGAGAGCTTGCGTCCTAATTGGATGGAAGTTCAAACAAATGGTAGCGAACACTACACTAAGCGAGTGATCGATGCGCGAGGCAAAAGTGATCCTTTCGATTTCTTTTCTGGATAATTTTGTTTACGGTTTGTGAAACTGATATAATTTGATGAAGGAAAATGTAATAGGGCCTTTTTTGTTCAGCAATAATCTGCCCAACTCTGTAGGAATAGGGTACTGAAGTATTACGATCGTGGTTTGTGCCAGTTGGAAGTATATATACTGATAAAGGAATAGTGAGACAACGTCACCATGGAGGGAAGTGTGCGGCACCGTTAACTTGTTTTAAGAAGAAAACCTCTGCCCAATGGAAAATGTCAAACTGCTTATGTTCTGATTTTGAATTGGATAAAATGGGGTGTCATGTAATTTTCTTACAGAATTAGTAAGAACTTGAATTGTTTTGGTTTTTGTAATTGATTTTGCTTTATTGAGACATAAAAGTGTCGTAGTTTGTGTTTATTGTTTCTTTTAATTACATCCATCTTCTAGCAATACATATTAAATGAAGAATAGTATAGCGTACATGGTCATTCTGTCACGTGACTATTTTCATTTAATATGTATAATATTCGCGTAAAATCAAGAAGTCAAATAAGTCTATATACGTTTGTTTCAAAAGTGAAAAAACAGCAGAATGTAAGAGACGTGTTTGGCTTGGCCGATGTACCGGCATTTATAGAATCTATCTCCCCCTACAGATTCCCTTTGATATCCATATTTCTGCGGGCTGCGATGATAATGGTTTCTACACTTTCACATGTATTTAAATTAAAGTTTTATATTTTAGTCACAAAACTCATAGCAACGTGTAAAAATATTAACTAACAGGCCGTGATAGCTCAGTGTCCGGGCGCTCGCCTTTAATTCAATATACTCGAGCAACCTGAGTTCGATCCCCGGTGCGGCACCAATGAAGTTTTTAACTTTAAGTGCTGACTTATCACGTGCTCCGCGGTGAAGGAAAACATCGTGAGGAAACCTGCATATTTTCGAAATAACCAAAAAAAATATATATATATTTCGAAAATATGTGAAGTAGATCTACGTAAGCAATGGTTAAGTAGGTTTTAACCCCAAAATTCTTGTTACTGCAATTTCTGCGATCATGTTTAACCTTATTATGTTTTCCTTGCTTCAATTTCCTTCCGAAACATTAGGAAATTTAGGAGCCTAGACAGAATATAGCGTCTTCGTGAGTAGCAAACGAAGTAGAATACTGTTTCAAATACTAGTGGCGTTCAATTGTCGATCTCTAATAATAAACAGTGAATGTATAATTTCAAAAGATATTTTCTGAAATAATTATCGATTTACAACGCGTTCAATCGGATCTTGTACTCGGAAACAGAGCTTGTGCTATGAGTACTAGCTAAGTGATAATAATTATACCTAAATATACTTTTTTTTACAAATAAATACAAATTATAGTGTGTAGTGAGGCTCGAACCTATATCCTCTGGCAGGTGTACTACCCACTGTGTCAATCGTGCCGTGCAGCAGCAATACTACTTACACTAAGATCAAAATAAACTTACACTACAAAAATATGTGAGTAAATTACTATGCACTAGCCTAATGCAAGGCGTTAAAACTTTTTTATATTTTACACAGATTTTAACCACTGACATTCTGTTCTACGCTCAAGTCTCGTTATTTTGTTGGTAGTATAAACAAAAAGCCGTGTTCCGTGCGGAATAAATTTTTACCGAGTAATCACCGAGGAGCTCCTTGAAAAAAGTAATGTATTCTTTCAAGTGGGTTCGTGTAAATCGAGAGCAAGTTCGATTTTATAGAGGTGACGTAATAAAAGCCGCTGCGTACGCCTGTAGGTAATTCCCCCTTACAACGATAAGGGATCGTTGGGCCGGCTGCTGTTGTTTATTGTCATCTGTATTGATTTCTCAGTGGCCCCTTGGTTGTGGGTCTAGTGAGAGAAGCATATAGGATCACAACGCGATGAAAGCGATCGCCGAAAACTAGTTTTCAGAAGAATATACATTGGCTATTCCAAAAACTGATTATAAATCTAAAAGTCATTGGTATATCCGATAACTTCATTTACTGCTTCCATATATACATCTCAAGGTTTTCCGTATTTATTTGTAATAATGCTTCTTTAGTAAATAAAAATATGTCCTTTAAATGATATTGCACTAATTTTATAACAGTGAAATCGTCTTATTTTAAAAGGAATTAAATCAAGCATTGCTAAAAATGCAATAAAAAAAGAGGAGATAGGACGTCGAGATTTTCGCACTGTGAGCATGTCGACCGCTTAGCTTAGCACCTGGAGCTTCTGGACGGTTTAGCTGGAAGGCGCAGGTTCGATCCCTGGCAGTGAAAAATAATGTTGTGACAATTTAAAACAGTAAATATAATATTACACGTTGACACGAAGCGTATGCAGGTTGGGCTCCCACATTCTCCTGTATACCATACGTCTAAGACAGGTGGTGCCAAAAATGTATGTGTGGTTAGTTAGTTTTTATTTAACAAGTGAAAGTTTCACTGCACAATAAAAGGTTGTTTTAACTATTATCCAAGTCAAAGGTCAAAGTACCTGAATATGAATATTTCGGCAAAATAAAAAAGTTATACAGCGTGTATACTTAAATAATAACATTGTTATGAACTAAGGCCATTAAAATAGCTACAGTGTTATTTGTCTCAACAGTCAAGCACGTGGGTGCGAGCTTGTGCCATGATTTCATACGTTCCCGATGTTCTTGATTTAATTAGAAGCGTCGAAATCAATAGACAATACAGTGTATAGGGGACCCTTACTCTCAATTTACATAATAAACAAACGGTCATATTACCGGAGCTTAAGCCCTGATTAATTCCGAAGTCAGATCGTGAGGATATCGTACGATATGGGATTAATTCGACTGATGTGTGAGACGCAATGTGCCTCCTTAAGCTATGACTAAACACAAGAAGAACGCACTTGATCTATTGGACTCGGTATACGTTCAAAATTTGTGAAATCAGGTTAAAGACATTTATTAATTACAAAAGAATAAAACATGGTTCATTTATAACGTGATAAACATATAGAAGGTATCTCAAATGTATTTATGAACCACAACCAACAGTCTCAGAGTTCAGCTGACTACAGTTTATAAATCTAAGTAGACAGCAATTCCTTTAATAGGTGTTTTTCTTGGACAATGTAATGGTTTTACATCCTTTAATTTCGCCAGGCAGTTTTAAGTTAACATATTAACATTGTATTATTCGTAAACCTAGATTTGATAAATAATAAATATTCCGTAAATAGTTGAAAAGCTATTTACGGAACAGTAGCTACGGTTAACTATGACATTGGGATGTCAATATTTTTTTTATGTGAAAAGTTGCCAAGCGAGCAGGTGGTTCACCTGATGTTAAGTGAATACCGCCGCCCATGGACATCTGCTACACCCGAGGGTTGCAGATCCGTTGACAACTATTTGAAAATTGGGCTCCGGCTACCTCACACAGAGCCGTGATAGCCCAGTGTCCGGGCGCTCGCCTTTAATTCAATATACTCGAGCGACCTGAGTTCGATCCCCGGTGCCGGCACCAATGAAGTTTTTTACGTGTAGCTGACTTATCACGTGCTCCGCGGTGAAGGAAAACATTGTGAGGAAACCTGCAATTTTCGAAATAATAACAAAAAAAAATATTTCGAAAATATGTGAAGTCCGCCAAATCCGCAGTGGGACATGTATAGGCTGTTACTTTACTTTACTTTTACCTCAATCACCAAACGAAACGCGAAGATTGCGTCTACGTGTTCCCGTGTTCCCGCCCAATGCGACAGAGACAGGTGCAACGTGGGTTTTTTAGTGGGTACGCGTTTCCGGAACTCCCATCTATCCCTGCCCCTCCCTCGATCCAGTGGCAGGGGATCCATAAAGGATTTTTCCCCTCGGCTGTTGCACGCATGGGCAGGCCCATCCGGGGACCTCTCCGACCGGGTTCCGGTCGGGTTGAGGGTGGTGGAGATGGAGCCACTCTCCCTGTCTTCTGCTACCGAGGAGGAGTCGCGGGGGAAGAGGAGTGCCGGTATTGCGTTTGGCCGTTCTCCCTACCATCCGCGCCTGAAACGTGATGAGCGGCGGAGCCACAGACCAGGTCCACCGCTGGGGGCCGGGAGGCTTTCTGCTTGTAAGCACTGGCTCTTCTGGTTCCCATGGACCTGGTCAGCGAACTCGGGGGAGTTCGTTGGCCGCAAAAATGGGGCCGAGTAGGAAGGCGCGCCGAATGTTCCAGCGCGCCTTAACTGGAGGAGAGGGGAGTTGCTCC